AAGAATTATTGAAGTAGTTTTAAGCTATTAGCTCATGAAATATTTCATTTAACTTAACTATCGATGAAGCTACTATTAAATGAGCCTCGAACATAAAAGCGTTAAGGATTGACTAAGGATTGACTTGCGGAGAATGAAGGGATTTCGACACACTCGAACCTCATTACTATCTTACGTTGACTGAAGAACGCGCAATTAAACTTAAGTATCGTAACATCCACGGTATCAAACATTTTAAATGTTCATCTTAAATTGCGCGTGTATATGATTCCATCTTCTTATCTTCTCTCCGATGTATATTGGATTAATGACATTAACATATCTCGCCCAAAGTAAGTTATATTCCCATTTCTTATTTAAAACTATTGGTAATAATAATGCAATAGGATTTTAATATCATTTTACATAAAGGATTGAACGATAACAGCGACAATTGGGTTGCGACAACTTGCCCGCGTAAGTGAGACCCAATCGACTATAACTATATTTTATTCAAATATATAATGCTGTAAATTTTCAAATCGGTAGCGTTAATTAACCGGATATATGCAGCCCATTGGAGCAAAGAGTTCCCCGCTTTACTTAAACCCGTCCCAGCCAAAAACTCAAGTATTTGAGAAAAAAGTTTTAAGCACCTTAACAGAAGTTGCTTTATCCAGTCGTTCGAGGATTTGAAAAGATAAACAAGGGTCAAATTCGATAAAACAAAGAAATTCCGCTGCGCAAGGAAAATCGAGGCGAGAATGGTGATCGCGGGTCGGATAATGCGGTGAAGGGCCTCGCGTTACCGGCTTTCATAAAGAAAGTGATCAGAGCGGAGTGCTCGAAAACTACACTCGCGAGAGCGAGGCCGTGCTTTAATTCCCGGCGGCGGTGGCGACGGCAGCAGCGGCGGCGGCCGCGGCGGTGGCGTTGGCGGTGGTGGCAGCGACAGCGGTAGCGGCGGTGACGTTGGCGGTGGTGGTAGCGGCAGCGGCAGCGGCAGTAACGGCGACAGCGACGGCAACGGCGACGGCACATCCCGTCCATCCGGAAGCCCATCGCCACGTTCGCTTCCCGCGGTTTCCGACTCGCGCGACCTCCTCCCCACCCCCAAGGACGCGACCCCGGCGTTGCGCGCGCAGCCTCCCAACAGGAGAGCACACGCGTAGCTCTAGCCGCTGGCATCGCCAGTCGGCGCCAAGTCGCGCACTCGCTCGTCGCAGCCGTAGGCACGCGCCTCTCCCACACGTCCGTCGGTCCGCTACCGTTCCCTGTCCTCGCGCTCCCCGCCGTCACCGTCGTCGCCGTCGTCCCGGTCGTCGCTGTCATCACGACCACCACCGACACCATCACCTTTACGATCCACCACCACCACCACCACCACCACCACCAC